TCCTACATATACTGTAAATACAGTAAAAATCGAATATCTCTCTCTAGGCAAGCCAATGACAGCTAATATTTTAATCTCGTTAATTTGACGATGAGAGCTTTCTTTTGACTCGAATATGTCCTATGTATTTACTTATCAACAAAAACATCTTCATTGTTAGTAAGTCATTTATCTTCTTTCTCCTCAATATCCTCCAAAGTTTAAACCATCAAGATTTTATCGTTGTATAATGAATTGAATTTTCGAACTGAAGAAGAAATTATATAATTTCTTTTGCTTTTCATGATGGATGTAATTTATTTAATTGTAATACTAAAGAATAGAATTCTTTTTTTATCTTTAACAGATGGTTGATATGATATTCTGTGTTGATTCAGTTGTAATGGACTAATGTTGACTTTTATATATCTTTCTCATCGACATACGTAACAATCAACAATGTGTTCATAAAAGAAAAATTTTCTGTTCTATCACGTGTTATAATGAAAGAGGTGCTTGAAATCACATTTGTTCTGCCAGTTTTATATCGAATTTTATCAATTTAAGTTATTGGAAAATTGAAAAAATAGTACATGATAGTGTTACTATAGATTGTCATTCCTAGTAAAAGCTAAAGATCTCAAACTTTGTAGCTACTTAATACTAGATAGGTGTATAAACCTACCAAAGTTTTAAAGAGTTTGCGTTTGTTGAATGCAAAAATGATGCATTTTAAAATCGCTTCAGAACTGTTTGGATGCCCCTTATAGGTCAAATTGGCATACAGTTGAAAGAAACCTTTATTATGGAACAAAAAACTGAAAATACTGGGTGTCCCAAAAGTCCTGTCGTGATAATTTTTTTTTGATTATCTCCACTATTTCATTTGACAATATCAACTTTTGTTTTTAAATGATAGATAAATATACCAAGTTTTTATTCATACATACAAAGTTTATAAACACCCTATAAAGAGTATTACTTCTGGATGTAATCTAAAAATTTAGCATTTTTTCAATGTCAAAAAATAATATGCAACATTTTTAAATAGTTATTTAGATTTCTATCGTTATTATAGACTTTAAACCATTAATATATCTTACTACTGGTTTATTAGCATTCATTTTGATATGATTTTACAAAAACAACGCAATGATATCAAGTCTAATAGCAATAAAAATTATAAAATCAAGCAATGCCCTCACTTTACCAATTATCAAAACTATCGCTATTTCAGGGACAATATGTTTTCGAGAAATGCAGTACTCAGTCAATCTTTTCAAAAACATGTTAAATCAAATGGTTATAGAGCAACGGTAATATATGTTAATGGTTTAAAATCAATAATAATGATAGAAAACAAAATAACGACATAAAAAACATTGTATATTGTTTTCTGATATTGGAAAAATGCTAAATGTTTAGATTGCGCCCAGAAGTAATACTCTTTATAGGGTGTTTATAAACTTTATCGGTATGAATAAAAACTTGGTGTATTTGTCTATCATTTAAAAACAAAAGTTGATATTGTCAAATGAAATAGTGGAAATAATCAAAAAAACTTATCACGATAGGACGTTTGGAACACTCTGTATATGTATTTTCAGTATTTATTAACTGCTGATTTAATATAAATCTTCCCACATCTAACAGCTTTTATTAGCTAAGATTTAACGTCGAAGCAAGTCAATCATTCATATGTTATAAAAGGATTGTCTCCATTTTTTCTTTTGTTAACAATAATAAATCATTTTTTTCTCTCTTTACTTTAAAATAATGCAGTTTTCTATGCGCATAAATGTGTGTAGTTATTGACAGGGGTTAATAGGAATAAACGAAGCTTAAAAAACATACGTATCCTCTCTGTTTTCTTTTTGTAAAACATATTATTTTAACAGCAAATGATCTTAACAAATGTCGCAATTTTATTTTTAATCAGTAATGTAATCAGTTTTAGTACTCATCTAACGGAATAACGTCAATTTATTATTTATTTCATGATTTTTTTGTGTTTTTTTTTTGTTTTTCAAGAGGAAACACATCTGTTCTGTGTTCATAGGAAAGAAACAGGAACAACGCAAAAAGAAAATTAGTATTTTATCTTGCTTTAGAAAAACATTGTCATTGATACAAACTTATGAAACTATGCTGATAATGCATATACTGTTACTTCTCATCTCTTGTATTTTAACCAATGGTCATTATTCATTATATCATTCTAATATTCATCAAACTTCTTATCTCACATTCGATTGTTTATATGCTTATTTAATTGATAGTGGAAAGGAAAGTGGTGGACGTTATATTCGTAATTATCATTTAATTCCTTATTGTAGACGTCCAGATCATGATGAACAACTGGAACAAGTTTCCTATCTGAACAATGAAAATATAGCACAAACAATAACTTTTAATGAATTAAAGAAACAAGGTATCACTAGTGAACAATTAATTGAATGGTTTGCACCTATTGATGTTGCAGAAAAATATGAGATGAATAATAATAGTATAGACATTTTTTATAAATGTGTATTACCATGGTTTGGTTCCATGTGTCAATATAGATTTCAGCATGAACTACAATTGCCATTCGGCGATATTGTTGAAGCTACTTTCAACGATTATATAGATATCATTTCTAATGTTACTACTGGTACATGCTATCGATTTCTAGATAGTTGTAACCAAGAAATATGGCCTCGATGTCTTGATTGGCGTGAAATTTGTGATGGAAAAATGGATTGTATAAGTGGAGAAGATGAACAATGGTGTGATCAGCTAGAAATGATTAAATGTACTGATAGTGAATATCGATGTCATTATGGCGGTCAATGTATTCCACTATCTTTTGCCAGAGACAGTAGACTTAGTATTGATTGTCTAGATGGTAGTGACGAGCAAGATAATATGATGTCTTATTCTTTATTGATCAATGTGGGTTGTGCGAGTGTTCAGACATTTCGATGTCAAGAACGTACTGGTCGATATCCTTTGTCTTTTCAATGTGGTGATGGTCAATATTCGCATGACTTTGATGTACCCAGTTGGATAAATATATGTACAAATAAGCGAGATATAGAATTATCTCGTACTATCCTTACTTCATTCAATCATATCTCAGATATCGATTGTCGGGAAGCATTTTTTTGTGCTCTTTACTCCAATCGAACACAAGATATAGGTAAGAATGTTGCAAAAAAGCAAAGATCATAAAAATATTCTTTTTTATAAGCGGATAGATCTGTACTTTCAGATAGAACATCGGAAAAATTTTATATTGATATAGCACATATTGAAAATGGATTTCACCAGTATGAGTAAATATGAGCTAGACTACTGGTTTTCAAAAGTCTATAAGTTCAGAGAAATTAATTGTGATGATACAGAATAAGTGAGGTATAGGAAGAAGAGAATGTTTTTCATCCTTTGAAAAACAAAACTTATTAGTAGTCAGCATTCTAAGGAATAACTATGCTTTTGGCAATGAACTTTTGAAATTCGCTGTTTTTCAATTACATGAACTTATCATTAAACATCAACGAAAGTTAGTAGTTTTGACAATAACACAAACCACGAAACACTACCAAGTTGTAGCTTTTCTCATTGGATTAACGTAAACATGGGAATACCGAGAATATGGTTATGCATGAGAGAGCATTGTTTTCTTGATTGCTTTTAGTATCTTTGATTTATTTTCTATATATCTATCCTTCTCATGTCTATAAAACTAGCAATAATTTCAAGTCCCTTCTCCGAAAAGAGACACCATACTCAACATAATCATCTTAATTTAGATAACCCTTAGTGACTTGTCGCGGATCATTCCATGATTGGTAGTACTTAGGTTTGCAAACAGTACTTTGTAGATATGTGTTGAACAACCTAGTCCCTCGCCAGTTCAAGTCGTACTCTGATATATTCTGATAAACTCA